CGGGGTCTGATAATAATTCCGTGCTCCCTGGAATCAATCTGGGGAGGTCGATTGACATTTCCATGAGCGAAGGGAACCATGGCTGTGCTGTCCAGAACGGTGTTATCAAAACCAACGATGCTCGGGAGCGCTGTAAGTGTAGGAGAGTTCGCGCTATGAGTGAGAAAGGGGGAAAGGCGTATAGCCTGGTGTTCGGCCAATTTTGTAGGAAGGCATCCACTGCCGTGGCGTCTGGGTCCGGTCTCCAGCTGAAGAATGAGGGGAGTTGAGCATTCAGTCGGGAGGCAAAAAGGTCGATGTGCATCGGTCCCCAGAGTTGGTGGAGCTTCTGGAATACTGTGCGATTCAATCGCCATGCACTGTTGTCTCGTAAATGCCTGGAGTGCCAATCCGCTACGGTGTTGGAGAGGCCTGGGAGGTATTCCGCCTGTACGGATATGTTGCGACTCAGGCAGAAATGCCAGAATTCTTTCGCCAAGTTCGTGAGGGTTGAGGACCTCGTGCCACCCAAGTGGTTGATGTAGCGGACGGCTGAGACATTGTCCATGCGCAGGAGTATGGAACAATTGGTCGTGTGTCCGAGGAGGCTCCGTAGGGCGAATGACCCAGCCAGGAGTTCCAAACCATTGATGTGGAGTTCTTTTTCTTCGGAAGACCATTTTCCACCTGTAGAGGTAGGACCACAGCGGGCCCCCCATCCCAGTCTGCTCGCGTCGGATTCTATGACTAGATCCGGAGTGGCGCCGAAGATTGCCTTGCCGTTCCATGCTTCCATGTGTTGAAGCCACCATGCCAGTTCCTCTTTTGCCGCGCAGTCTAGAGGTACAGAATCTGAATAGGAGTGACCCAAGCGTAGGTGAGTTGCCTTGAGTTGTTGTAGGGATCTGTAGTGGAGAGGGCCTGGGAAGATCGCTTGTATAGAGGCCGAGAGCAGGCCAATTATCCTGGCTAGCTGTCGGAGGGTTAAGACTGGTCGAGTCAACGTCCTCCGGATTTCCTTCTTGATAAGTTTTACTTTCGCGGTAGGAAGACTGAGCGTTCCGTGTACTGCGTCTATATCGAAGCCTAAAAACTCTATCGAGTGTGAAGGTTGTAGGATCGATTTGTCCCAATTGATTAGGAAACCTAGGTTTTGCAAAAGGGTCACTGTCCAGAATAGGTGTTGATTCAGTAGCTGTGTGTCTTGAGCCATGATCAGCATGTCGTCGAGGTATATGATCAGACGTACACCTCTGCTGCGAAGGAGGGCAACTACCGGTTTCAGCAGCTTGGTGAAGCACCACGGGGCTGAAGACAGGCCGAAAGGGAGGCAGCGGAAACGCCACATCGTCTGTTCCCATTGGAATTGCAGTAATTGCTGACAGTCCTCGGCAATCGGTATTGTGAGGTATGCATCCTGGAGGTCCAACTTTACCATCCAGTCTCCCAGTCTTAGTAGGTCTCGGAGGCAGTGTATTCCTTCCATCTTGAAGTGATGGTATGTGACAAAGGCGTTGAGAGGCCGCAAGTTTATTACTGGCCTCGTGCCTCCACCTTTCTTGGGTACTAGGAAGATGTTGCTTAGGAACCCGGGGGCGGTAATGGGAACCCTGTATATCGCACATTTTTCCTCCAGTGTGCGAATCTCTTTTAACACTAGTTGTTTGTCTAGTGGGGAAAAAACAATCCGATGTGGCAATGAGAGTTGAATCGGCTGTTGTGTAAATTCGATGTGATAGCCGAGGATGGTCTCTAGGACCCATGTATCTGAGGTTAGGTTGTGCCACGCATCCTGGAAATGAAACAATCTGCCCCCCACAGGTACAAAGGGAAAGGTGCGTAATGTGGAGTGACTCACCATAAGGCCGACGGCCATAGGAGGATCCCCTGGTTCCGCGTGGATGCCATGATCTGCCCCTGGTCGGGAAGAATGGTGATTGTGCCCTCGGTTCGGGTGGGTGGAACCGTGGTGTGGCGGAGCCTCGATAGCCCCGGAACTGAGTCCGGGAGGGGCGGCCGGACAGACGGCCCCGCTGTCTGCCGGCCCCCCCGAAAACCTTTTGCGAGAACACTCGCTTCATATTATGTTGTGCCTTATCTAGTGCCGTAAATGTGTTTACGTAATTACCCAGGGTCTTAACAAAATTGTCTCCGAATAAGAGACCTTTTGCCTGTGTTCCAGGCTCAGAGATTGCCAAATGCACTAGTTTTGGCTCGATTTTCATCAATATGGCTTTACGCCTTTCTGTGGCCAAAGCGGTGTTGGCATTTCCTATTAGGCATATGCCCCTCTGAATCCAGCCTCTGATGGCCATCAAGTCAATTGGGGTCCCCCCAGTAAGGGCCGCTTCGACCATATCGAAGATTTTAGCTATAGGCCCGAGTATGTCCAGGATCTTGTCCTGGCAGTGTTTTAAGGAGTAGTCCAAACCCTTCTTGGCCCTCCAACCTGACTTACCCAGGAATTGGGCGACCTTGGGATCCACTTCAGGGGTCACGCAAGCCATGTCTGGGACAGTGGGCCTTGGGCATTCCGCCCTCAGTTTGCTTCTTGTGGCCTTGTCGAGGGGTTTTCTGACCCTAGTCGCAATATAAACGGCCACATGAGTTGTGGGGTACCACTCCGCTGAACGCGGATTATGCAAGGTGTCGGGATCAAAAAGGGGTTCCCCTTGGGGGTCTAATACAGCGGACTCATCCGTCTCGCGCTCCGCGTCTAAAGCTGGAGGCGCGGTGTCGCTGCGTTCGGGGGACGAATTGTCTGAATTAATTGGGTCGATGTCATCGGACCCATCTGATACCTCCTCTGAGTCCGAGTCGGAGTCGGACGGATCAGATAGGGCTTTTGCCCTCTTCCAAGTCCGCACCGTTTTTGCCCGGCGGGGGGCTCTTTTACGTGGGAGCACCACGTCATCAATTTCAACAGGGCGCAACCTGTCCGTCTTACTGGTTCTGGAGGTAGCACCTGACAGATGGTGCGATTTGCACGTAGCCTTGCGGCCGCTAGGGACCATAGGCTTGCTATCAGTGGATATAGGGGGTGCCGAGCCCGGGTTGTGACCGGATGCCCTAATAGCAGAGGAAATAGAGTGGGACAGGGTGTCCGACATCGCCCCCATGGCGGTAAAAATGGCCTGTGTAACAGACCTACTCATCGTGGCATCCAGGAGCGCCTGGAACTCCTCTGAGTTCACGTGCTCCTGGGATGCGTCCCCAACTCCCCCAATGACAGCAGCGTCTGTAGACATGGCTGTCTTATCACGCTTGCTGGGTTTAGTAGAGGTGGGAGGGGGGGTAACTGTCTTTTTATCAGCAGGGGACTGCATAGTGATCAGGAATGTGCACAGTAACAGTAGAGGGAGGCACTGAAATAAACCGTCACTATTGGACAAAATGCACACTTTCAACACTGCAGAGGTTAATAAAACCAGCAGTATAGGGCAAGTGGCTGAGCACTTGAGTTAAATTTAAGGCAGGCACAGTTATAAAGAGGCACAAAGTATTTTTGGCACATATAATATGGCAGCTTACCGAGTGTTCCCTCAGGAATGACTCCTGGGGGACACTGGTAAGCTGCCCAACACTTCCCTCACCCAATCAGCTCGCGCCCCTCCCTGTCAGAGTGGCGCGGACCGCGGGCGAAAAGAGCGGCAAAATTGCCCTCAGTTAAGATGGCCGCCGCGATGCGCGAGTGCGGACCGCGCATGCGCGAGCGGCAGAAACGGCCGCCAAAGAAACAGCCGCCCGTACGGCGGCGAAACTGCTCACCGGGGGGGGGGTGAGGGGGGGTGGGGAGAGGATGCCTGAGTGACCCCCACCCGGGGAAGTGGAATGAGGGACGGGTTATAAACAACCCGAAAACGGCAGTGCAGGATGGGGCTTGCCTCAGGGAGGAGGCAAGCACCCTGCACTGGGAAACAGAGTAAAACAAACAGTAGTCAAATACACATAAAAATTGAATATTAGACAAAGAAAAACTGATATTTAAAATGAACAGTAGAAAACAATAATAATATGAATCAGGAGAAAACTGAACAACACAATATTTGAGGAGCTGAAAATATGTGGTACTTAGCTGAGGCAGCAGCAAAGAAAGAGGAAGTAGTTTACCTCACATGAAGGGATATAGTACAAGGACTGATCCTATTGGTTAATGGATATGGAATGTTATATGGTTAACCCTTAAGGGTATTTGTTTTCTCTTTTTGTTATTGCTATATTAAAAAAAATATCAATATCCTTTCTTTGCTGCTGAGGAATAAAGAAAGAGATAAAGCCTAATAAGAGCCTCCGTGTCCTTTAATAAAATTTTGGTTGTCTGGGTACATGTAACTGCTAGGATTGGCTGTGTAATAGAAACATAGAATGTGACGGCAGATAAGAACCATTCGGCCCATCTAGTCTGCCCAATTTTCTAAATACTTTCATTAGTCCCTGGCCTTATCTTATATCTAGGATAGCCTTATGCCTATCTCACGCATGAATAAACTCCTTCCCTGTGTTAACCTCTATGCATGTACATGTAACTGCTATGGTTGGCTGTGTCTGGGTACCCATGGCTGGCTATATCTGAGAAGATGTGGCTGCCTCTGTGTGGTGTATCTATACCTGTGTACAGGTGCTATTGCCTGCCCTTTCAGAGTGCTTATAGTCACTGTGCCTGTCTATGTCTAGGTTTATACGACTGCCTGTGTCTGGCTGTTTATAGGTACTTGGCCCATTGCCAAAGATCACATTACCCATAAGAAAATAGTCATTACATTATCTTATTTAGAACTTTAACACTATGGTGAATAAAAAAAATAAATAAAAACAAGACGAAAGCAATAGAGGTACAAAAATTATTCATTTGAAAGCAAAACCTGCAGAGTTTGCTCTTTGATACACAGTGAACAGCAGGGGGAAAGCATACCCCCAGAACAAGTAAGTCTCTGGCAGATGATTAGCCCTATGCCCCTGGTCTAACGCTCTTTACAGAATGTGACTGCGTGGAGAGGTGTATCGTTTACGCCTTCTGTAACCTAGATGCTCTGTTTGTCTTGTTTCTCCAATGACTGCCGTCCGCTATCGGCGAGCAGGCTTGCCGGTATTGGAATACCTTCTCCTGACTTCCTGAGTTAAAGTATTTAGATGGTGTTTCTTATTCCCGCCAGGTGTGAATGAGCAAGGAGGACGCGCCCGCTGCCCTTGCTGACACTGTTCTACGTTTCCTGTGCCATGATGACATAAACACCGTGAAAGAGCTATGTGCCGACTGGTTCCCCATCGAGTACGTTTGATTTAGTTTTTTTGTGTGTATTTTATTGGGTTTTCTTTTTCTCGTTTGTGAGATTCTAACGCATGGTTTAGATGGGTCGCCATGTGCCATTGAATCATAGTTAGTGCCGCTGGGTGTCCATGTCTACACCAGGTTTTGCTTGCTTTTATCACTGCAGCTGTTGTGGTCTATGTTACTAAAGATGCCCAGCCAGCCCATGAAAGCCGGAGTGCCAAACATTGTCATCTATTCTCCCTCCGCAGGTACCCGGATTCCTGGTACAGAGACATCACATCCAACAAGAAATTCTTCTCTTTGGCTGCCACGTACCATGGACAAATCATGGGCATGATTGTGGCCGAAATAAAGAGCAGGACCAAAGTGCACAAAGAGGTGGGAAACATGAATAGATTGCTTTGCAGTCGGTGAAGGCTCACCATGCTGTGTGTGTAATCAGGCCACAGGAAGGTGTAAAGCTATGTTCATCACTCAAAGAAAAATTCAAAAAGGGTCAACTTGATTTGTCTCTGTTTTGCAGGACGGTGACATTTTGGCTTCTAGCTTCTCCGGTGACACACAAGTAGCTTATATCCTCAGTCTTGGAGTGGTTAAGGAGTTCCGCAAGCAGGGAATTGGTGAGGAAATGGAACAGTGTGTAAACTGATATCATCAGCCAATGTGATAAGATAATCTCTTTACTAAGACTGTGTATGTCTCATCTATTTCATTTAGAAGGAGCTGGTTCCGTTTTAAAAGTAGCAATATGTGCTCAGCTTACTTGATGTTTTTGAAGGTTTTGGTAAATAGATTCTATTTATTAGATTCTTGTCCTGAAAATAATGCAACAGTAGAGCAAGGACGATCATATCAATTTGCGATATGTACGATCCTGTTCTCTTTTTCATTAACATGCTGGCTAATAATGCCTCACATTTTTTGCATTTTCATAAAGTCTTGGTATGTAGCCAGGACCTGTGGTATGAGGTGTTAAGTAGTTTCAAAAGTTCTCTCCATGAACTGGTGATTGTTTTTAAGTCTGAGGGGTCTTGAGTTTGTTTTATATGCTGTCTCAAGGTTGTGCATGTCTTGGAGCAATCGGGAGATCTGGGCAGTTCATGTCTTCTTTAGAGCAGTGCTTGTAGAAATAAAGTACCCGCTTAGTATGCACTTGTGGGCTTCCCACAGAGGCAGTGGTGTGATGCCCTCTGTGACGTTTTCTGTGAAGTATTGGGTAAATCTAGTTTGGGTTTCCTGAGTTATTAATGTGTCTGTGAGAAGAGATTCATTGAGCCTCCAGTGGGGGTCCCTTGTTATGGAGATGTCAGCATCACGAGGACTGGAGCGTGGTTGGACCAAGTGACTGTGTCTATTTGGACCTGTTTCATGTCAGTCAGGTGATAGTGGGGGAGAAAAAAAAAATCAAGTTTGGAGTAAGTGTTGTTTGGAGTGGATTAAAATGTGTATTTGCTATCTATGGTGTGTAGTGCTTTACAGCAATCTACCAGTCGGTGTTCGTGTAAATCCATGCGTAATAACAGCAGTATATGGACTTAAAGGGTTCCCGATGAAGAGTCCAGCAAGGGGAGCAGTGCCCTCATGATCAGGCATACCACCATACCACTATAGCACGAGAGAGCTCATAGAGTTGATTTCAGAAACCTATGCCGTCTGCAGTTTGGTAGGTATACGTTTGTGAGGGTGTAGGTTTTGACTAATGTCTTGCCTTTTACGAAGACATACCGTCCCTCTCTGTCTACCATAGCACCGGTGTGAATTGGAAGGACTTATGAATAAGAATGGCCATTCCTTTTGGATTTGTTCTTAGGATTTTTGCTTGTGTAACCATCTGTGCATTGGTGGATGGCCAACGTAGGGGCACTGCCTTCCCTGCAGCGTGTCTCTCTGTATATAAACATGTGCCACTTGGTTCTTAAATTGTCTAAGGGCATGAGAGCGTATATCTGGTATATGCAGGCCCTTAGCGTTGATCGATAGTACGTTGTGTGGCCGGTTTGAAGAGTTGCTTAGGAGTCATTGGAGTTGGGCAAGTTCTGCAGGTGAGGAGAGTGATGGGGTCTGTTACTCAACATCCCAAGTGGAACGAAAATCCCTGCGTGTATACAAAGGAAAATACAAAAAAAATAACTAAATGTAAAAACAAGGATAGGGCGTCGGCAGGAGCGGTAGCCCCGTGCACTAACCAGTCGGCCCATGGGAACTGTTCTCAACCAAGACTAGGGAGCCTCTGTGACAGATCCAGCAAAGGTCCAGTGGCAAAAAGAAATGGGCACACGAGACACTCCCCATGTTCCCTTGGTCCCGGCTATCCCTTGTGCATTGACTCTGAAAGCAAATGTCCGTGTCACAATTGCTCATTCAATAGAATGTCAAGGAAAAGGGTCCTATTAGGACCATTGCATCTCCTTTGTTTTTAGCGTCCTGCATGAGTCGCTCCCACAGCTCTGCCCGTAAGAAACCCTTACCTTCATCTCTCCTGAGGGTAATACCCACCCATTGGCCTGTTACGTCCTAATGGCTTTCGGTTTTGGCCTTTTTCTATTTTTGTAAATACATACTTAAAGTGAGAACAGTCACTTTCGAAGATTTTAGTTATGAAACTTTAATACTCTGTTTTACAGTTAGAGGCCTAGATACTAGTTAATGGGTTATTTCATGCAACTGTGAGCTTAAAACGAATTGTCAAAACTTGGAGCAGAATACCTGAGTTTTGGAAAAATCGTCAAGATTGTCACATTGAAGATTTTCTTAATTTTTTTTTTAATGCAACACAGCTGTCAGTTTACTGATTAAGCGCATAAAACAAAACAATTTATTGTTTTTTATACACAGTAGGCCAATGAGTACATTTTTTGGATATCTGATAATGATGGGAGTGATGCCAAACACAAAGCCTAGAAAAATCTGGGCATGAGACACAGCCTCGTAAATCTAGGTCTATTGGTCGTTTTGAATAAATCATGCTGGCTGAGATCACTTCAAATATAACACAGGCTGGTTTGTGTCAAAGCAAAGTATGTTTTGATTAATTATTTTCTTTTAATTTAGGGTGCCCATCCTTGGACTAAAGTGTACTAGAGAGAACGACATGCCTGAGTCCATTTAAACAATATAAATTCCCCAGCAGGTGAAATCCTTTATATGTATGGAGAGCTATGACATGGAAGAACACAAAGGATTTATTCACTAAATAGTGAATTGTAATGAATTAACAACAGAATTAGCAAATTGAGGCTGAAATAGCCAATCTGTAACTATAACTGAGTTAGAGGATTTCTATCAAGTCTGCAGTCTCCCCCCCACGCCCCCTGTTTTGGTAATTTAGTTATCTTTTCACTGCAGTTTGGTATATAATGGATAAACTCCTCTTTTTGACCTTTGATTCTTTGCTCAGGTTCTCTGCTATTGGAGAGTTTGAAGAGCCACATTACTAGTACAGCCCAGGATCACTGCAAAGCCTTGTACTTACACGTCCTGACCACCAACAGCAGCGCCATCCGCTTCTACGAGAATCGTCACTTCCACCAGCACCACTACCTGCCCTGCTATTACTCCATCCGAGGTGTACTGCAAGATGCATACACTTATGTCTTGTACCTCAACGGAGGACACCCGCCGTGGACAGTCATATATCCTTTATGGAACTTTGTCTGCTGCACCCCTTTCTGTCTTACTCAAGGAATGGTTTTCTGTCTACCCTACTCTGCTATTTGCTGTTAAGGAACCCCAGTCTATCTTCCATTCCACCTTTCATTACCACACAGTGTTTTATTCCTAGACCAGATTTAGTAAGAATTGAATGTTGGACAGTGGAATGCGTAGGGCAACCTGCATCTCTTGCACACTGTCTTGATAATACGACTACTTAATCTTGAAGTTTTATTCTTCCAACTTCTGTTCTTTAGTCGATTTTCTTCTACTCTCCCCCTGTTTGTTATTCATTCCTTCCATACAGGCTGAATGCACGTGTCTTTTTCTTTAACCTCCCAGCACGGATTATTTGCAGCACTTGGGTTCCGCTCTGGCCAGTCTAAGTCCTTGTTCCCTGCCACAAAGGATCTACCGTCAGGCACACTCGCTACTACGCAACTTCCTTCCCTGGTCCCCCAAGAGTGGGATTGAGTACAGTCGTACAATGTGACCACAGGTAACTAAACTAAACTTATATCTACAGTAATCAAGTTAGATCCGGTTCTGCTTTGATCTGTTTATATTCTAACTCTTACTCTTTCTAACTCCTTCTTGATCACATGATTTTGTCCATATTTCCTTCTGCCTACTGTAACAGTTAATAGGCCCAAATCAGCATCCTTGGTACCCCATGTGTACTGTCATTTTTAAGCCTTGACCAATACATTCAATAAAATTCCTTGTTATTTATTCACTAAAGAGTCGATTTCCGTCCCTCTGGACAGACTGACCTTGGCTGTAGCAAATTAATGTGTCTAAGTTTGTTCTACAGATTCCAGATATCACGTTTTTTTTTTTAAATCCTTGTGTATACTAAGCTTTGTCAGGTTGTACATTTGTGGTCACAACTTGTTTCAGCATGAGACCTCACTCATATACAAGCGGACACTTCCTTTACCTACTTTAATTCAGTGGTATTTCTCTCTTGTTACAGGGTGTGAGCTTCGTTACACAAGAACATGACCTGTGGGCATCCCAGTTTGTCTCCCTGCCCCTTCCGTCAGTCTCAACATCTCCACCCATGGGAACAGAACATTGACCCACTTTCTTAGAGGACTGGTGCTGAATATTGCCCTCCTTCGTACAGGGTCCTGATCTAATCCCAGCATGGATCTGTAGGGTTTATCACAGGGTCAATATTCTTGGCTGTCTATGCCCTGAATTTTTATTTACATGCAAACATACACAAAAATACCCTATATGGACTCTGAATGGGTTCCAACGAAAGGGATGCCACTTATTCCTTTTTACTGTTTCTCCTGCTTGTAACTGCTGCTTCCATGTAAATTCTCCCCAAATCATCCTCTTTATTTCCGTAGCCTGTTAACCTTTTTAGCGCTGCTCCTGTAACAAAAAGAAAGAGGATGTATTATTAATAGGTTCTCATTTTGCAGCCTGGCGCTGCATGTTTTTCTTTCTTCGGTTTTTTATGTTTATGGCTGAAATACGTCAAAGTCGTTATTGTGACACTTGCACGGGGTGTCTCAAGCAGATTGAGTGGAAGACTGTGAACCCAGTCCTCATTCACAGCCTGGGAGCATAGCATTTCTTTACTATGGCAATAGAAGTGTTGGAAGATATGACCAGTAACAAGTAAATCTCAGAACATTATACACCAGTTTTATAAGACTAGCCTTGGAGGA